AGTGTTAACCAGCAAAATGTTTTGTATGAGAGTTGCACAAACTTCCAGCGAGGTGGTGATACAAAGGGATTTTACAAGGGAATCTTGTGATTTTCCTGTAAATACAGGAGTTAAAGTTTCGATTCTCCTCAGTTACATATTTTTAACATAGTTAAGATATATAACTATTATGTAGTTTGAAAAGAACACATTACTGTGTGAAATCTTCTTTTCTAGTGACCAGCCAGGGAGCTAAACCTGTATCACAGGAAGATCAGCTACCTCGAGCAGGAAGAAAAAGGAGAGGGACTTTTATCCTGACCTTCTAGTTCCAAGAACTTCAATTACAATCTCGCTTTTTTTAAGCATTTTCATTATCAAGAGGGGGATATGTCACAATACCCCTTTGTTTTCTATGCCTGTCTGTTGTTTAAAATGTTCTGTAAAGTTTGTTTCGCTAAAAGCATTAGCCAGTGTGAATGCGGTTAATAATTACCGATTGCACTTGGTGAAACTCGGAAAGTGCTGAAATTCAGTAGAACTGGCGCATTCACGTTATACATATTTTGAGTAGTGCTTTTAAATACATGTTTTATGTATTTCATGTTGTTTATGATGCTTATGGTGCCATCAAGCATCGTTTGCAACAATTTGGCGGGTAACTGACTATCTGTAATTTGCAGAAGTGGACAGGAAGGTGTACTGTTTCCCTATTGGGTCACTTAAATGATGATTTTGATTGGACCATAAGAAAAACACGAATTACATCAAGTAATTGATACAATACAATTACCATTGGGTACACTAATTCAGGGAGTGGCTCAATGCCCATAAAAGAACGAGTGCCATGTGCTCATGGTCACTATTTTTTCTACCTGATGACAACAAAGGTACGTGCTCTGATTATTAATGAGTAGTCAAGAGGTTGGTTCTTCATGCACTTTAAATTAACTTCATTACAAGTGGCTGCCAGTGTGTGTAGTTTAAGTGTGATTCATGTTTGTTATCTCATAGTTGTGTTTGTTGATATTTATCGTGATTAATACCGAGGGTTGTGGATTTCATTGAATCCTACAATAAAATTCCATTGAGTTTACCTAACCTTGTTGTCTCGAGTTTTCTGTATAAATCAAAGGAGGGAATACACAAACAGGTTCAGCCTAAGTCATAGAGGTGTTCGAAAATAAACCTCCGATTGACTGAAGCTTCCCAATTTGCTTTCATTTAAACAGCAATTTGGTAGTACTTGTCAATGTGGAAGAACTCATTAGTCAAGTTACACCTAGTTCCAGGGACTTGCATTCATTGTTGAGGATTGAACAGAGGCTGTGAGGGGGAAGAAGCCATATCGTGGGTGTACATATAAGGGTGTAAACAACCGACAGCAGCGCAAGAGGCCCGGGTCTCTGAGCTCACTGTGTTTGTACAGGTTTGTAGTGGAAGGAGGTGCTTGTAGCGGATTCCGCAGAAAAAATTGTGACGCACATTTCTCTTGGCCCAGGTAATGACTCGAGACATAGTGTAGGATTATTTATCATTCATTATTTTGAAAAAAATATTTGATGGGTGGAGGAAGAAATGGAGCGGTAAAGACTGAGCGAGGTGTAAAGTGGGCAACTGTGCAAATGTCATTCTATAATACTCACAGTACGTCTATGAAACAAACTGCCATATCCAAATTAAAATCAACGCAGAAATTACAGGCCTTTAAATATTGTAATTAAGTTGCCGTTCCAGAGATCTCTGCCAGATCCTCTAAGCTAATTTATCAAAGAGATAATGTACTCACGTCTGGGTTTGGCTCAGAATGCTTGTTTATTAAAGCTTGTTTATTTTACACTGAATGACATGTGTTAGAAAGAATTTGGCTTCGCAATATGAGGAGCAAGCCAGCGTGTGATGAAGCAGTGACTCAGCAGCTGTTTCCTAGAATGGCACAAAACTTTGTAAATAGATTTTGCATTTTTATAATAATCCTCGCATTTGGTACAGCACCTGTCACATCAGGAAGCCATTCTGTCCATCGTGCCTGTGCCACCTCTTTGAAAGAGCTACCAACTAGACCCACTCCCCCGCTCTTGCCCCATAGCCCTGTAATTTTTCCATTTTTAAGTACCTATCCAATTCCCTTTTGAAAGCTACTATTGAATCTGCTTCCACCACGCGTTCAGGCAGTGCATTCCAACAACTCTCTGGGTAATTCTTATCTCCACTCTGGTTCTTGTGCCAATTATCTTTAACCTGTGTCATCTGGTTTCCGACCCACCCGCCAGAGGAAACAGTTTTCTCCCTATCTACTCTATTAAAACCCCTCATAATTTTAAACACTCGAGGGCAAACCCTTAACTGTCCAGCGCCTTGGGCTGCTTTGAAAGTCGCTATATAAATATAATTTGTTGCTGTTGAAGTAAGCGAACATGGGTAATTGCCCACAAACAGTCACAAAGCGAATGAATAATTTTATATGGGGAGTTGTCGGACTGGACACCAGGAGAGAAATTCCCTTTTCTTTTCCTATTTTTTAATAATTTTAGTCATATTATAGAGAAAAATTGTCTTCACGTTAGATATTGTCTATGAGTGAATTGCCAGCATGTTCCTATCTTTTTTTTCCCCGACTTGAAAGGTGTTATACAAATGCAATGTGTTGTTCAGAAACATTGGAATTGCATAATAGTCATAGAATCTGCAACAGAATCAATTATACTGTATTGAAAATGATTTTTTTACTCTTAAAAAACATTCCCACAACTCAAGACACAGAGATAGCATGGCCACGAAGAAACTATATTTCAGAAACTCGCTAGTTACACAAGAAATCTTGGAAAGTAAAGAATGACACATTTCATATTGTATGAAATATTGTAATTTAGACTCGACCCACCCTCTCATAATAAGTGGTAATCCTTGCATTTGATATAGTGATATAGTGCCTTATCGCGTCACTGAGACAACAACTTGCACTTATATAGTGCCCCTCATACAGGGTAGGGTCCTAGAGCGCTGGCAGTGGCGGAGCACGATGCTGAGACGGGGGGAGGTGACTGTAGGCACGGTTGAAAAGGAAGGTCTTCAGGTGCGATCTGAAAATGGGGAAAGAAGGGGCAAGGCAGAGGGATAGAGGAAGAGTGTTCCAGAGTTCTGGAGCATAGTGGCTGAAGGCGCAATCACAGATGGTGGAATGGGGGGCACGAGCCACATGCAGAAGGCCGGAGCCAGTCGAGTGGAGGCAGTGGGTTGGGGAGTAAGCAGGTCGGAGAGGTAGGGAGGAGCCAGGACATGAAGGGATTTGAAAACGTGTAAGGATCTTGAAGTCAATATGTTCAGCATTAGGGAGCCAGTGGAGCCTGGTTAGAACTGGTGTGATGGAGGTATGGAGTTTAGGTGGGCAGCGGAGTTTTGGATTAGCTGGATCCTGTGCAGAGTGGATCTAGGGAGACCGCTGAGGAGGGCATTTGAACAGTTGAGTCAGAAGGTGACAAACACATGGATGAGTGTTTCGGCTGCATCCGGAGTAAGGTATGGGCGGGACCAGATCCGGGCTAAGAAGGACAGCTGTGGGTTGAACTTGACTCCTAGGTTAAACACCGGTTCGGTGAATCTATGGAATAGGCCAGGGAGGTTAAGGAGGTCAGAGCCACGGGAGAGATGTTGACGGGAGACAGAAGTAGCCTTCCGTCTTGTCGACGTTTAGTTGCATAAGTTTGTGTTCATCCAGGCCCTGATGTCAGCCAGAAAACGCTGACAAAACATCGTCGTACCTGGAGTCAAAGTACATTTGTGTGTCATTTGCATACATGTGGAAGTCAAGGAAGAGGTGAGGAAATAGAAATTTTAAAATATACTTAGTCTGTGGAGGGTTTGAAAAATGGGGAGCGGAAGTGACCTCATGCAGGCGGTTTCGACCATTGGTACAGGCGGGAGATTTTGAAGTGGCATCTCCACACCTGGAACCTCCTCGCCTGGAACACTGGATCCTTGGCTCACATGCTGCCTCGCTCGCTCAGCTGAGGCCTCCTCTGACTGCTCCGACCCCGGTGTTCGCGTCTCAAAGCGATTCACAGAATATATTGTAAAGTGAATTGACTGTGTTTTGTGGGCAAAACTTGGCAGCCAATTGCGCAAACATTTTTTTTATTTTTTCAAAAAAAAATTTGAGGGATTATTAACCCGAAAAGCGATCCGCCTATCGACTAACAACTGGGTTCCTACTTACTGCAAGTTAAACAGATGCGCGTGGAGCAAGGAAAGGTGCCTTAGGTTTTGTCCTGCTGGGAAACAAACTCGCGTGATTCTCTCGTTTGCGAGGCAAGCGCAAAACCACTATGCTACGGGATTCCACGTAAGGGTGATAGCCAGTGGGCAGGCTGGAAAGAAAAAACAAATGTCTTAAACTTCTGCCCCAGTTCGTGCTGATGAATGCTCACTCGGTATAAATAATCCATTTTATCTCAATAGAATTCTTCCCCTGCTCTATTCCAAATACCTGCACCTCAGCTGCCCTCAGAGTCTCAGTCACACCTCCTCTCCTGAACTGTTCCTCAGAACTGTACCAGGAGGCCCTGTGTTCCTACTGCTCACTCTTTTCCTGAACCTTTCCCTGGTTTTCACTTGCTTCACATCCCCTTCTTTGTCGGGTGATCGTTTAGCCATTCTGCCCCCGCTGTCTGGAACACTATTCCGGAGTCCATACGGTTAGCTGCCTCCCTCCCCTGAGTCCCTCTGACTCAATCGTTCCCTCCTCAGAGTCCCTCTGACTCGCTCCCTGACTCATCTTTCCGCTCCCCTCCCACAGGTTGGCTGCCCAGACAACGCGGTCAAGTGCTGCAAGATGTCCTGCCAACGAGAAAGATCAGTTAGTACTCTTCCCCCAATGAAAACCTGTTTAGGCTTGTGCATTTGAAAACAAATGCTTCACAATTCAAACACTGCACTCGCCTCCTACTGGGAGTTTGTAATGAACAGCTTCACTGTTCCCAAGACAATTAAACAGGAGAGTTACACATAATCTTTATTTTATTAAAATGCATTTTGCAATTTAATAATTATGCAGCAGTGATCATTATTCAGTTTTTTTAAGTCAACTGGTTAGTCTTTTATCACCTTCATTCTAGGAACTCTGTAGAGTTCTCCTCCCCCCAAAACATTCACGGCTTTACAGAATTGATGCCAAAATCAGGCAGAGGAGGGAAGAAAGAAAAGTTTTGGAAGTGCCACTGGGAGAGGAGGCTTGGGACCGGGAATACCTTGGGCCACTAGGACCTGTCGCACACCCGTACAAGGGAGAATCAGTAAGCCATGATTCAGCCTCTCCCCTGCCTCTAGCCGAAAACCCAATGACAGAGTCAGGGGGGTTGGTGAATCTTTGCTTCACTCAAGGCTCTGCACGATTAGAATGTGGGCCAAGTCAAGAGAAGTACGGGTTTTTGGGGAACAACAGCAAGCATTGTTTGGACGACAATCTCCAGGGACCTGTGGAATTGTGCCTTTGGGGCAGCTCAGAAGTTTAGGTTAAGATGCCTGTAACTGTATAAAACTGTGCTACAAATGCATCTATTCAATCAGGATTAAAGGTGCAGTCAGAGTAGCAGAGAGAGTGAGAGAGAGAAAAAGAGAAAGAGCAGCCGTGATTACAACACAGCATGTTGATCATCATTTGAGAAGTTCCTTGATTTCTGGGCTCCCTGCTGCTTCAAAGCAGCTCAGTCCATCCGGCCCCTTCACGTTTCTATCAGCGCCCTGTGTGGAGAAAGAAGGAAAGAGGAATCAGTCACAGGCTGAAGATGATTCATACCGCAATAGGCTTCCCTTCTGGCTGAGAAGCGACAGCCAGGTTATAATAATAATCTCTGCATTTGATATAGCGCCTTATCACATGGTTGAGATATCTCAAATCACACAATATACTGCAAAGTGGATTGACTGCATTTTGGGATACTGCTGTGGGCAATCCAACAGTTGTGGATTGAGTGACCTAATCATATTTTTTATTAACCCCAGAAGGCGACCTGCCATTCAACTAACAACTGGGTTCCTATTGACTGCTGGGCAAACAGAGGCATATGGTGTAAGGAAACCTTGCCTAAGGTTTTGCTCCACCTGGAAGTCGAATCCTTGTTCTCTCACTTGCGAAACGTGCTAATCATAACACTATGAGACAGTAGCCTTTTTGGAGCCAGATCGTTACTGAAAGAGCATGTGGACATCTAGCAGGCCTGAAGCACTGAGCACAAGGGAAGCTGAATTCATTGATCATCAACCAACGACAGCAATAAGCAGTGTGACAGCAAGCTGCCCAGCGTCTTACAAAGCTGCAGCTGCTTAAATGGATTGGCTTGTAAATCCTTCACTGGCTAGAATGTACTGTAGAACCCTGTTACAACACAGTTTGGAACCTGTAAATCCCAGACTACTATGGGTCAACCCACGCCATCGCCAAGGGTTTCGTTCCAACAGTGTTCATGCTAAAGGAAAAAATCTGTTTTTCTCAATCCCATTCAAAGTTTTTCCTCTGACCTCTAGAATTTAATCTCAGAGTTTCTCCCCTTGCCTTCTCCAATATTCATCTCAAGCCCTTAATCTTTGCCTTGTCTTCGATAATCTTCCCTGAGTGGAGGGAGAGGGTGGGTTGGTAGGGGATTAGGAGGTCACAGAGGTAGGATGGGGCAAGGCCATGGAGGGCTTTGTAGTTGAGGACCAGGAATTTGAACTCGATCCTCTGAAGGATAGGGAGCCAGTGGAGTCGGGCGAGAATGGGGGAGATGGGGTCACAGAGTTTGGTGCGGGAGAGGATATGGGCTGCAGAGTTCTGGATTATCTGCAGTCTGTGGAGGGAGGAGTTGGGAAGCCGACAAGCAGGGGATTTGCATAGCCGAGCCTGGAGGTAATGAAGGCATGAACAACAGTTTCAGCGGCCTGAGGGGTGAGGTAGTGGCGGAATCGGGCAATGTTACGGAAGTGAGGGAAGGCAGAGTGGGTCATGTCTTGGGACGTGGGGAAGAAAAGACAGTTGAGGGTGGAACAAGATACCTAGGTTCCTGACTGGCTTGGTGAGCTGTAGTGTGCAACCATGGAGATTGATGCTGCCAGAGCCTGAGGTGCTGAGCGCTGGTGTGAGCCAATCAGGAGGGCCTCAGTCTTGGTCACGTTCAACTGTAGGAAATTTGCCCTCATCCAAGACTTGATGTCCGACAGGCAGTCTGTCAGGACAGCAGTGGTCCTGGAGTTGAGGGTGGAGGCAGAAAGATAGAGTTGGATGTCATCCGCATACATATGGAAGTTGACCCCATGTCTGTGGATGATGTCACCAAGGGGGAGCATGTAGGTATTAAAGAGGCGAGGGCCAAGGACACAGCCCTGGGGGACGCCAGACGTGACAGTACGGGGGCTGAAGGAGAAACCGTTAGAGGAAACAAAGTGGAGATGGTGAGGGAGATAGGAATCGAACCAGCCTGGTATACAATACAACATTTTTATAGTGCCTTTCATGTTGGGAAGACACTGGACAGTCAGAAATTTGGACCCGAGATGGGGGGTTGGGATCAGGGAGGGTGGAGGCCAGGGAGGGTGGCCGAAGGCGCGGTTGAAGTGGAGGGTCTCGAGACATGCCTTGAAGGAGGCGAGGGAGGGAACGAGGCCAAGGGAATGTGTGATTGAGTTCCAAAGAGTGGGGCAAAAACATCTTCCTGATGTTTGTTCTAAAATTACCTTAAAGTCCACAACAACAACAACACAATTAGATTTGTAAAGCACTTTTCACATCGGGAGGATGTCCCAAGGCACTGAACAGTCAGGTATTAGGACCCAAGCGTGGGGGAGCAGGTTGGGATGAGGGAAGGCAGAGAGGTAGGAGGGCGAATGAAGGCACCATCGCAAAGGAGGGTCTTGAGTCGTCCCTTGAAGAAGGCAAGGAAGGGAGCAAGGTAAAGGGATTGTGGGATGGAGTGGGGAAAGGCAGAGCGGGTCATGATATGGATTTGGGGGAGAAATGACAGTTGAGGGTCGAACAAGACGCCCAGGTTTATTACTGGCTTGGTGAGGTGGAGTGTGCATCTGTGGATGCTGATGCTGTCAGTGCCTGAGGTGCTGAGGCTCTGGCACGAGCCAATCAGGAGCACCTCGGTCTTGATGACATTCAACTGTTGAAAGTTGGCTCTCGTCCAGGGCTTGATGGCTGACATGCAGTCAGTCAGGACATTAGTTGTCCTGGAATCGAGGGTGGAGGTAGAGAACTAGAGTTGGGTGTCATCCGTGTTACATGTGGAAGTTGATCCCAAGTCTGGGAATGATGTCACCAAGAGGGAGCATGTACAGGTTAAATAATAATAATAATAATCCTTGCATTTGATATAGCGCTTTTCACGTCGGGAGGACGTCCCAAAGCGCTTCACAGAACACACTGTAAAGTGAATTGACTGTATATTTGTGGGCGAACGCGGCAGCCAATTGCGCACAGCAATGTCCCACAAACAGTCGTAGATTGAAAATGACCAATTTATTATTGTTTCTGGTTTTGGAGGGATTATTATTAGGCTCTGTGTGGAGTAAGGAAACTTGCCCAAGGTTTCGCCCTGCCTGGGATTGAACTCAGGTCTCTCGCTTGCAAAGCGAGTGCTCTAACCACTGAGCCACAGGACTCCACAAAAGAGGTGGAGACCGAGGACTGAATCCTGAGCAACACTGTACGAGACTGTGTGGGGGTTGGAAGAAAAACTGTTGGCGGAGACAAATTGGAGATGGTATGAGAGATAAGACCTGAACCATTCAATGTCCATTTACCCCGCTTTTTTTTCTGGCGCACCGACCAACCACCAAAGTATGTGGAAGAATTAGGATAATTGTATTTAGAAGTACTTAATTATATTCAATACAAGTGTTTAATTGTAGTTAGATGTCCAGAGGATCTGTGTGAGCACCATCATTTTCATGGCAGATAATGATCCATTGCCATGTTCGATGCAAAATCTTCCATAACATGAATGGAGTGATGAGGCAAAATACATCTCTAACAACTTGTTTCAGCTCCTCCAGAGCCTCATATAGCTGTTTTGAAACAGGGGGTAAGAGGACTTTGTGCATATCTTGTGGAGTCCTGTAGCTCAGTAGTTAAAGCACTCGCCTCGCAAGCAAGAGACCTGGGTTTTTATTCCTGGCAGGGTGAAATGTTGGGCAAGTTTCCTTACACCACACACCTCTGTTTACCTAACAGTAAGTAGGAACCTGGTTGTTAGTCAATTGGCGGATTCACTTTTCCGGGCGTAATAATTCCTTCATCATAATAATAATAATTTAGTCACTCAATCCACGACTGTTTGTGGGACACTGCTGTGCGCAACTGGCTGCCGCATTTCGCCCACAAAATATACATTCAAATCACTATTCCGTGAAGCGCTTTGAGACATCTCCAAGACATGATAAGGCGCTATATCAAATGCAAGGATTGCTAGAATTATTGTACCCTGTACTGTTCAGCGTTAACTTTCTCAATCCCATTCAAAATCTTGTGCACATCTATTAGGTCCACCCTGAAATGTCTCTTTTTAAGAATGAATATGAAGAAATCTTTCCTCTGCTTTCTGGAACTCCATCTGTCTTTGCCTCATCCCTTCCCTTTCCTCCTCCAAAGTCTGTCTCAATACTTCCTCTTGCCTGCGCCTTCAATCATCTTCCCACCCGACCTCTTTGCTCCCCACATCTCCTGAATCTAACCCCCAGCTTGGGTCTAAACCTTTGGCTGACCAGCACGTTGGGATGTCCTCCCAAAGTGAAAGGCACTGTATAAATGCAATATGCTACTGTTGATGTCTGTCGTCAGTCATGACTAGAGGGACTTCTCTGAGCTTGTGCCAGAGCTCAGAGGAGCATCTCAATTCTCATGACTGATGACAGACTTCAACAACAACTTGAACAAGTGGAGGTAAGTGAGGTCTCCTTGGAACTGAACTGGCTCCAAGGTGACATTCCTGACAATGGAATGTCAGAATCGAGCCTCTGTGGTGGTCTTGGTAGGCCGGTTCCTGAGCCAGGCGGGTCTGCAGTATTCCAGGGCACTGCTGATGATAGCAGTCAGACTGTCTCATCGGCAGGACCTGGAAAGGCAGACCAGTTACTGGGGGCAGGGAGTCATCTCACTCAGCTCCTGTTAACCCTGCAAGACAAAGACCTAATGGGTAGGATGGTCTTAGCTGGACAAGCAGCAGGAAAGCTTGCCAAATTGCGATATCAATGGCAGTCTATGCAGTTTTAGCTGGTTAGACTCCAGGAGTACCCCAACCCACTCTGGGGTCCCCAAGCCTTGGTTTGGATATTTTTAAGCATAGTGATGGGTTTCTGCATGTGTTACGACACCCAGCTGAACCCACCACCTACCCCCAGAAATATCCAACCTCTGACACCTAGACCAACCCGATTTGCATTAAACTCACACAGCAGTGTGATGGGGGAGGGAGAGAGAACGTCCCCGGCCTTCGGAGGGGAGAGAGTGAGATAGAGAGAGAGAAGATATTCACAACCAGAGGGGGAAAGAATTTTTATCTCCCAAGCTTTGCTAGCTTTGCTTTGTTTGAGCTGAACTGGAATGTTCTAGATCAAAGGAAATAGAAATGATCTCCTTATTTGTAGGCACCAAGAGAATACCATACCTGCCCATCACAGCGCACTGGAGCCTGTCACAGGGCAGTGAACCACGTGTATTGTGAGCGTCTAACGGCTCTGGAAAAGCTAAGCAGCCCTGTACATAATGGGAGCCTAAAGGCAGACAGCAGGAATAACCGAACTAGCAGCTGAACACAACCAGCCTCAGCCAGCACTGCCACTGCGGGTAACATCGGTGAGTGGCCTCTGAACATTCCAGCAGCCAATTACATGGAGGTCAATCATTCCACACGCTTGGGAGAGTGGGGGTAAGTGGGAAGAATAAACTTCAGATAGTACACAATAGGGTCTACTGTACAAGGGTCATCAAAGGCTCAGTGGTTAAGTATATTGTGGCTTCAGTACTGAGGGGCACACAAATACCTAGATCCAATTCCTGGTCTGTGCTGAGTTATCTTAAACCAGGGAGCGGGTAGCAATTGAGAGGGAGAGTGCATAAGGGAGAGAAAACAGAGAGTGAGAGAGAAGCAAGGGCAGTGATTTGTTGTTCACCGTCAGTACATCCGGGGACCGAGGAGAGACACCAAGGGACCATGCAGTTTCCTCACAGAAAGCTCCCTTTTTTTCCCTTCTGAGAAACTGTTCTATGTCCTTCATCCCCCCTTTCCCACCCTACTTATGTGACTTCCCAACCCGGCTGTCCCTTTGGATAACAAACATTGATTCATTTCCCCCCACCCCATCTGCCCTACCATCTATTTTGCCCCCATTCTCTGAAGCTCCATTCCTAAAGTCCCTCCGACTTACTTCCTCCCTCTCTTTCAATGCACATCAAGAACTAACTCTTTGACCATGTTTTTGGTCACCTTTTCCCCTCCCCATCTCCCACCTCCCTCAGCACCCACCCCCAGCTCAAGTGCCCAGCTGGCAGTGTCGGGCGCTTTGTCCTTCCAACATGAAAAAGATGCTGTGTAAATGTTGTTATGTTTCTGGAAGGGAAACACAAAATATTGCTTATGAGGCCTGTGGACCTTTCTCAAATAAAGTATCTGGCCCACAGCAGCCAAAAGTTTGGACCACCCTGGGTTAAACCATCCCGCAGGAACTGGAATCAGAGGAACGACAAATCAGGCAGGAATCACAATGGGCTTGGCTTGAAGCACGTACAATGGGCATCATGATGTTCATGCTCTCACCTCTAGGTCAGGAGGTTGTGAGTTCAAGCCCCACGTTGGGACTTTGAGCTCAGTCGAGGTTGATATTACAGTGCAGTACACAGGGAGCGTTACAATGTCAGAGACACCATCCTTTGCATGAGACGTTAAACCGAGGTCCCGTCTGTGCCTTTTGAGACCCAGTAACATTACTGGAAAACGGAAGAGTTTATCTCTCCCGGTGTCCTGGCTGACAATGCCCCAGATAAAATGGCTCAATCACTTGTGGGTGTTTGTGGGGCATTGCTGTCTGAAAATTCTTGGCTGTATTTGCCGTCAACATGTATCGTCACTGCACTTTACAGTAAATCACTTTGAGATGTTTGACATGATGTTTGTGTAAAACACAAGAACTGTGTTAAGATATTCCTCACTGGGCACTTTGGGCAAGTCTCACACATCCTTCAGGATAAAGTGAGTCACGTCCTTCATGTAGTTTCCTCTGAATGATAACACATCCCTGGAGGTTTCCCCATCTTTTAGGGCACAACGTTAGAGCCCAAGTTTGACACTGCAAAATGATCCTGCCATTTGATAGACCGGAATAATGGGGTAACTTTGCTGCTACCTTTCCCCCTGGTTATAGATTCCATCACCAAGTATTTTTATTCTATTTATTTTTATTTAGTCAGATCTGCAAGTTCCTTCAAAGATGTCACCGACTCCACACACACAACACTGCTTCGAGCAACTACCTGGAACACTTGTGTTCCCCGTGTGCCGCTCGCCTACTAGACAGTCTGACGAGGATTTCCTACCTCCCCCAAATAGTTGCTCGTGCTCCCCACACAGAACCTACCTCAGATAGTAGTAATCTCACACATGTCAGATGTCCCTCGTAGATAGCCGACAGAAGTGGCGTTATTCCGTGCCTGTCTGTCGCCTGTGGAGCAGAGATCGCAAAGTTCAAGTGTTGGGATTTATACTCCAGACTAAAAATCAGTGTTGTATTTATGGAGAACTACCCCAAGCAAACTTCTGCCATGCTGCAGCTCAATGATGCAAATTCACCCAGTGACTCCTGTATTTAAAATAATATAATAATAATTCTTGCATTTAATACATCTCTTATATAATCAGCGAGACATCTGAAAGAACGTCACACACTGTAAAGTGTAGCTACTGTGTTTTGTGGGCAAACACAGCAGCCAACAAAGCCCCGCAAACAGCCATGGAGTGAGTGACCAGTTTTATTTTTATTTATTTTATTTTTAGTTTTATTTGGAGGATTGTTGGTCAAGATACCTGGAGAAATGGCATCATTAATGTCCTCCTGGATAGGCTGACAGGGCCTTGTTTTAATTTCTAGCTGAAGGATGGAACCTCCCACAATGAAGTGCTCCATCAGCATTGCACTGGAGTGTTAGCCTAGACTATCTGAGCTCCATGTCCTGACGTGAAACATGAACCTATAACCTGACTCAAAGGTGAAAGTGCTACTAACTGAGTCAGTCTAGATACTGATCTGTAAATACACACACAGCTCAGCCACTTCAAAAGTGTGTGGTGGGGGGAAGAGAGGAAAGGATCAGGATGGGATTATCAACCCTCACCATCACACTGGTTTTTACACATGCAGAGTCCCATAGTGTAGTAGTTAGCGCATTCGCCTCGCGAGCGAGCGGACCTGGGTTCAATTCGTTTGCACTGCGAAATCTTAGCCAAGTTTCCTTACTCCACACGCCTGTTTATCTAGAAGTAAGTAGGAACCTGGATGTTAGTCGATTGGCGGATCGCTTTCCAGGGATAATAATCCCTTAAAAAAAATTGGTCACTCAATCCAGTATGCTTGCGGGACACTGCTATAAGTAATTGGCTGCCATGTTTCTCCCACAGAATACACAATCAATCTACTTTAGAATATAATCTGTGATGTGCTTAACAAGAAAATTTCAAATGCAAGGTTTATTGATTACATTATCATGCACCTGAGGGGCCAGAGGATGCATGAAACCACTGGAACAGATTTCCAGCTCGAGTCAACGCCTTCAGGAGAGACATGACCCATCTGAGCTGCAAGACTAGCTTTAATGTGCTGATGCAGATGTGTGGCCATATATCTCAGAAGAACTGTGCAGGCCCAGTGAAACCAAGAAGTTAGCCAAAGGAGATTCCAGGCAGGAACTGTGCCCCCGATCAGACTCCAGCCAGAGGAGCAACTTCAGAGCCTGAAATCCCTCAGTGCCTTGGTCAAATTGAGACTGAATTCTGTGACAACTAACTTTTTTGAGGCAATGTTCTTAGACCATGAGAATTTCGGGCCCTGGTTTAACTTAGTAGAAGGACAGGAAGGGGACAGTTGGTGTACTGAATCACTCCTGGTGCTGAGATCACTACAGCAGAATAATAATTCTTGCCTTTGGTATAGCACCATGAAATGGAGTGACTGTATTTGTCGGCAAATACAGCAGCACAATTTGCACAGAGCAATGTCCCACAATCAGCCATGAAACGAATGACCAATTTTATTTGGGGGGATTCTTGGACAGGACACTGGGAGAACTCCCTTCTTGTTTCGAATACTGTAGTGCCATGGGATCTTCAGCATCCACCTGAACAGGTAGACGGAACCTTGATTTAACGTCTCATCCAAAGGGCAGCACTTCTGACAATCAACAGACTGCATTGGAGTGTCACCTCAATCTATGTGAATTCAAGTCCTAAGGTGGGCTTGAACCCACAACCATCTTATTCAGAGGCAAGAGCGCTACCACTGAGCCAAACTGATATCAGCTTAGAACTGGTGACATTTAGTAAAAGATCTTTAACATCCACCTTTTGAGACATTTCAACGATGTGATAAGGTGCTATATCAAATTCAAGGATTATTATTATATTCTATGGGATGACATTACAGTCCACTTAATAGAATCATAGAATTATACAGCACAGAAGGAGGCCATTAGGCCCCTCATATCTGTGCCGGCTCTTTGAAAAGAGCTATGGAATTCAATGCCACTCCACCGTGCTCTCCCTGTAGCCCTGCAAACTTGTCCTCCTCAATAATTATCTACTTCTCTCTTAAAAGTTGTTATCGAATCGACTTCCACCATCCTTTCAGACAATGCATTCCAGATCCGAACAACTCGCTGTGTGAAAACATTTCTCCTCACTTCACCTTCTTTTAACAGCTATTTAAAATCGATGTCCTCAGGTAACCAACTCACCCGCCAGTGGAAACAGTTTTTCGAGGGGGGATGGGGATCAGAATGTAGCATCCCGGAGGGGAAACGAGTTACATAGTGGACGAGGAGAGACAAATAGAAAAGAAACAAGGAATAGTCCAGCAAAAAGTGGAAAGAGACGGGGGAGAAATGTAGAGCGGATTAAGCCAGTCTTGGAGTGCATGTGTGTAAATTTAGGATTATCATTATTATTATTAAATGCACGGAACGTGACCAATAAGCTTGGTGAGCTGCGGCTCAAGTTGCCACATGGGGCTACGATGTAGTGGCAATTACGGAGACTCGGTTCAAGCAAGGACAGGAATGGGAGCTGAATATTCCTGGCTACAACCTATTCAGAAGGGAGAGGGAAGAGAAAAAAGGAGGCAGGGTGGCAATACTCATTAAGGACACGGTCACGATCCTGGAAAAGGACAATGTGTTAGAGGGTCCAAAAAATGAATCTATTTGGTTAGAGTTACGGAGCAGAAAAGGAGCTGTTACTATGTTAGGTATTTACTATAGACCTCCAAATAGTGGGAAGGAGATAGATGAGCAAATCTGCAAACAGGTTTCAAAGAGATACAAAACCAATAGAGTAGTGATAATTGGGGAATACAATTATCCTAACATAGACTGGGAAATACACAGTTTAAAGGGCAAGGAAGGGGAGGAATTCCTGAAATGTGTGCAGGAGAACTTTCTGGATCAGAATGTTTCCAGCCCAACAAGGAAGGAAGCAGTGCTGGATTTAGTTCTGGGAAATGAAGTGGGGCAAGTGGAGCAGGTTTCAGTAGGAGAGCAGCTGGATAACAGTGATCAAATATCATTAGGTTTAGAATAGATATAGAAAAGGACAACAATCAATCAAAGGTAAAGACCCTCAACTGGAAATGGGCTAATTTCAGTGAGCTAAAAAGGGACCTGGCCAAGATAGATTGGAAAGAAAGATTGGCAGGTTTGACAGCAAACGAACAATGGGAAGCCTTCAAGAAGGAGATAGTTCGGGGACAGAGCAAATACATTCCCACAAAGGGGAAAGATAGGACAGTCAAACCCCCTTTGATGAGTAAGGAAATTGGGATTAAAATAAAACAGAAAAAGGAGGCTTTTGGCAAACTTCAGGTCCAAAACACACAGGATAATCAAATAGAATATAGGAAGTACAGAGGAGAAGTGAAAAGGGAAATAAGAGGGGCGAAGAGATTGTACGAGAAAAGATTAGCAGGAAACATAAAAGGGAACTCTAAGGTATTTTATAATTATAATAATAATCCTTGTATTTGATATAGCGCTTTTCACGTCTTCTAGAGCATATCAAGAGTAAAAGGTTAGTCAAAGGTAGGGTGGGTCCAAGTGGAAATCTTTTTGTTGAGGCAGAGGGCATGGCTGATGTACAAAAGAAGCCACAATATCGCAGGCGTGTGAACAGAAATTGGTTATGATAAAAATCTACAGAGGAGGTACTAAAAAGGCTGTCGGTGCTCAACACAGATAAGTCACTTGTTCCGGATGGGATGCATCCTAGGTTACTGAGTGAAGCAAGGGTGGAAATAGCGGAGGCTCTGGCCACAATCTTTCAATCCTCTTTGGACACTGGAGTGGTGCCAGAGGACTGGGGTTGAAAATGTTAATCCCCTGTACAAAAAGGGGCAAAAGGATAAACCTGAGAACTACAGCCATCAGCCTAACATCAGTAGTAGGGAAACTTCTGGAGACTATAATCCGGAACAATAATAATAATAATCCCTCCAAAAAAACAAAACAATAATAAATTGGTCATTTTCAATCTACGACTGATTGTGGGACATTGCTGTGTGCAATTGGCTGCCGCGTTCGCCCACAAATATACAGTCAATTCACTTTACAGTATGTTCTGTGAAGCGCTTTGGGACGTCCTCACGACGTGAAAAGCGCTATATCAAATGCAAGGATTATTATTATAATATAAATTCTCACTTAGAAAAATATGGTTTAATAAATGAGTCAACACGGATTTGTTAAAGGCAGATCGTGTCTGACAAACCTAATAGAATTTTTTGATGAAGTGACTGAGAGGGTGGATGACGGTAGTGCAGTAGATGTAGTTTATCTAGATTTTCAAAAGGCATTTGACAAAGTGCCACATAAGAGACTTATAAACAAAATATAAGCCCACGGTATTAAAGGGACTGTGGCAACATGGATCCAGAACTGGCTGGGAGACAGAAAGCACAGAGTGGTAGTAAATAGTTGCTTTTCTGACTGGAGGGAGGTGTGTAGTGGTGCTCCTCAGGGGTCAGTATTTGGACTACTGTTCTTTCTGATCTATATTAATGATCTGGACATGGATATAGAGAGCACAATTTCCAAATTTGCAGATGATACTAAACTAGGAAAAATAGTTAATGGTGAGGAGGACAGCACCAGACTCCCAAGATTTAAGACACATCGGTAAAATGGGCAGAAATGTGGCAGATGAGGTTTAATGTGGAAAAATGCGAAGTGTTGCATTTTGGTAGGAAGAATGAGGCGAGGCGATGGTACAATTTTAAAGGGGACAAATGAACAGAAAGACCTGGGGGTCCACATAAGCAAATCTCTGAAGGTGGCAGGACAGGTAGATAAAGCTGTTAAAAAAGCATACGGGATACTAGGTTTTATAAATAGGGGCATAGAATTCAAAAGTCAGGAGGTTATGTTGAATATTTATAAAATGCTGATTAGGCCTCAGTTGGAGTACTACATTCAGGTGTGGGCACTGCACTTTAGGAAAGATGTTAGGGCATTGGAGAGGGTGCAAAGGAGGTTTACCAGGATGGTACCAGGAATGAAGGATCTTAGTTATGAAGAGAGGTTAGCGAATTTAGGATTATTCTCCCTAGAGCAGAGAAGATTAAGAGGGGACTTAATAGAGGTTTTGGGAAAAATCTGTTTCCACTGGCCTGTGGGTCAGCAACCTGAGGACACCGATTTAAGATAGTTGTTAAAAGAAACAGAGGGGAGGTAGGAATTTTTTTTTCACCCAGCAAGTTGTTCGGATCTGGAATGCATTACCTGAAAGGGTAGTGGAAGCCGATTCAATAACAACTTTTAAGAGAGAAGTAGATGGGTATTTAGGGAGGACAGGATTGCAGGGCTGTGGAGAGAAAGCAGGCCAGTGGGATTGAGTTGGATTGCTCTTTCAGGAGCCAACGCAGACGCGATGGGCCGAATGACCTCTGTATGATTCTATGATTCAATGATAGTTTTTCCTTGTTCACACTATCGAATCCCCTCATAATTTTGAAAACTTCTATTAAGTCTCCTCTTAACCTTCTCTGCTCCAAGGAGAATAATCCCAGCTTCTCTATCCTCTTCTGATAACTGAAGTTCCTCATTCCTAGTACCCTCCTGGTAAATCTCCTTTGCACCCTCTCCAACGCCTTGACATCCTTCCTATATTGTGGTGCCCAGAACTGTCCTGCCACCTTCAAAGATTTACTTGTATGAACCCCCAGGTTCCTTCACCTCCTTTAAGTTTCTACCATCATCTTATATTCCCTCTCCTTATTCTTTCTCCCAAAATGCATCACTTCGCATTTCTCCTCATTAATCTTCATCTGCCAGATGTCTGTCCATTTTACCAGTCTGTCTATGTCCTTCTGAAGTTTGCTACTATCTTCCTAACTATTTACTGCTGTTCCTATCTTAGTATCATCTGCAAACTTGGAAATTGTACTCCCTATACCCAAGTCCAGATCATTTGTACGGATCAAAAACAGCAATGGTCCCAATACTGACCCTGGTGGATACCACTGCACACTTCCCTCCATTCACCATCTGCTGCCATTCACCATCACTCTCTGCTTTCTGTCTCCCAGCCAGTCCTGTATCCATGCTGCCACTGTCCCTTTAATGCCGTGGGCTTCTACTTTGCTTGCAAGTCTCAAACGCCTTTTGAAAATCCATATAAACTACATTAACTGCACTAACTTCATCCACCCTCTCCGTTAATTCATCAAAAAACTATCAGGTTTGTTGGACACGATTTGCCTTTAACAAATTTGTGTTGGTTGTCCTTTATTAACCCATATTTTTCTAAGTGAAAATTTATTTTGTCCCGGATTATAGTCTCTAGAAACAGTTCTATAAAAGCACTGCATTGTTGGAATTTCATCCTTCAGATGAGACATAAAAACGAGCAGTTTGCACCTGTTCAGGTGGACGTTCAAGATCCCTTATTCCAAAAAAAACCAACGGTTCTTTCACTTCAGGGCTGTTTGTTGGACATTGTTGTATGCAAATTGGCTGCTGTGTTCCCCTACAAACAAGTCACCACACTTTACAGTAACTCCTGTGAAGCACTGTATCAAAAATGCATTGATAACTTTATATAACTGTGATAATCCAGGCAACAAATCTCCAGTCAACCCAGCCATAGTTCTTGTTTGCCACTGACAGTCATTGAGGGCAAAGGCGAGGCATATCCAATACAAGCAAAAGCTCCTACCAGTCCATCACACAGCAATACACTGCATGACCCAGACCTGCTCAGCAGCAAAGCAGACACGCACTGCTGCCAAGTCACAACCTCTGCTAGCATAGGTTAGTATGTTGGTTTGTACATCCTGCATATGTACAAAGTAAGCTACAGCTGACAGTTATATCTCTGAGCAATTTAGTGCATCAGAAATGCTTAATCACACCAAGAACTCTCTGGATCCATTGTGGACTGAAGTATTACAGACAGTTTTGCAGTCTTATCTGTTTTAAAGCAAAAAGCGATTGTTGAAAGAGCGGTATCAGCAGAGTATTCTTTGGCAGCTGCTAAGCATATTTCTGAGAGATAATAGTGAGCACTTCCTGCAGCAGAACAAGAGAGCATTCCTTCAGATTGTGAACCAGATACATTAATGACCAAATGCAGTTCCACACTCAACCTCGGTATAAGAGGAGTAATGGTAGCATGCTCAGAAAGGATGAAGAGACAGACTACGTAAAGAGAGAGAGAGAGAGAGAGAGAAAAAAAAGACAGAGGGGGGGAGAGGGATGGGGAGAAAGGCCGAGGTGGGCATGGGACACCAAACCTGAAAATCCAGCTACTGGTTTAAACTAATTTGCACAAACAAACTTTAAAGATCCCAAGGTTCAGTTGGTAGCATTTTTACTTCTTAAAGTCAGAATGTTGTGGGTTCAAGCCCACTGTCAGTACTTGGGAGTTCAGTCTAATCTGACACTCCAGTGGAGTGCTGGGGAAGCGCTGCATTGTTGGAGGTGCCATTCTTCAAATGAGACGTTAAAGCAGGGTCATGTATATCGGTCCAACTGGACGGTAAAGATTGTTTTCTTGAGAAAGAAAAAAAAATTCTCCTGGTGTCCTGGCCGATAATCTCCCAGATAAAGGTTATTGTACACTTCATTCATTTCTCATGACTGTTTGGGGGATATTGCTGCATACAAATTGCCTGCTGCATTTGCAAAAGTCACGAAACTTTACAGAATATCCTGTGAAGCACTTTGAGATGTCCCCCTGATACGAAAGGTGCTGTAGCAAATATAAGGATTACATTACTATTATATATATTTATACGTTCCACGTCATCCAGCCTCAGTGAGTATCTTCACAGCTGAGAGCGATGTTTAAAGTGAAATGCAATCTGACCAGAGCCTGAGGCTCTGAACAAAACCTTTTTGTGGACACAGCTTTCGATTAAAGAGCTGGCGTGTAGTTTGAGCGAGAGGTTTGCAGATCCCAGCAACGAGTTCCGCTGAGAAGCAGGGAGTGCCTCGAAGGACAAAGCCCCATTGGTGAGAGCCAAAGCTGGCCACGGAGCCATCTCAGTCCTGTGCCCTCGTGACAAGGAACAGTTCCCTCAAAGGGCGAGGAGGAAGTCAAGTTTACGAGAGACAGGGAGCCAATGGGAACCCTGTCAAAAATCCGATTCCCTCAGCACATCAATTTCAACAGTGCAAAAAATGTCTTATGAGCACTGATGAGAGTGAAGCTCCTCAGTATAGAAGCAGGTCGTGTTGGATCAACCCTCCCACAAGTCAGCGTGACGGACCTCTGGTTGGTGCACGGTCCCTAACTCAGTTTGTACCATTCAGATTACTCATTAAGGAATCCCATCAGAAACACCACAGCTAGGACAGCCCCATGGTGGAGTGGACAGAGCTGCATCTTACAGACCAGCTCACTGCAAATACATCCTGGTCCATGTCGTGTTTACTGCCTCTGTGCGCGGAGGCCGGAGGCAGAGAGGAGGCTGGCGCAGAGAGGAGGCTCAGCCGGGGGTAGAAAGGAGGCCGGACCACAAGAGCCAAAACTTGGGGATCACTGCATGTACATTGGGCTAATTGCTGGAGTCTTAAACATCTAAATCTGTGCAGCTCAACAGCTGCACTGCCTAAAGGACTTCAGACCAACAGTGTGTAACTCCAATGATTTGAAAACGATGCATAGCTGTGCAGTTGGATAAGTCCGTCAAGTTTATTTTGGTCAACTGGGTGTCTGACACACTTGAATCTCATTTTCATGCTTAAAAACCCTCTCTGTTCATTTACTCACATTAATATTTGCTCCTTTGGAAAGCAAGAACGCCAGGGTGTCAAACTGGCCCGAGTCGGCTGCGTAATGGAGTGGTGTCCGTCCCCCAAGCTCCACGTTCACATCAACAACCTGCAGACAAGACCCAGAGTAAATGCACGCACCATCCAAACAACAACTTTCATTTATACAGCGCCAGACATGTAGGATAACATCACAGTGGCAGGTTTGGCAAGGGAGAAGGGGGAGAGGAAAAGTGACCAGTGGGATTTGAAGATTGATAAAGGGGGGGGGGGGGGGGGGAGGAGGGGAAGGACCAGAGCAATGACTTCCATCCACGACCAGTGCCAGCCTGGCTCAACTGGTAGACTTTTCACCTCGGAGTCAGAAATATAAGAACATAAGAACATAAGAATTAGGAGCAGGAGTAGGCCATTCGGCCCCTCGAGCCTGCCCCGCCATTCGATAAGATCATGGCTGATCTTCTCACCTAACTCTAATTACCTGCCCTATCCCCATATCCCCTAATCCCTCTATTTTTTTAAAATCTATCAGTCTCAGCCTTGAAGATTTTCAAGGACTGAGCATCTACAGCCTTCTGGGGTAGTGAATTCCATAAATTCCATAAATTCACTACCCTCTGAGTGAAGAAATGTTTCCTCAACTCTGTTCTAAAAGGCTGACCCTTAATTTTAATACTGTGACCCCTGGTTATAGATTCTCCTACCAGGGGAAACAGTCCCTCAGTGTCTACTTTATCCAGCCCTTTAAGAATCTTATATGTTTCAATAAGATCCCCCCTAATTCTTCTGTACTCTAGAGAATACAGCCCTAGTTTATTCAGCCTATCCTCATAGGTCAGTCCCCTCATCCCAGGAACTAACCGAGTGAATCTACGCTGCGCAAGTATGTCCTTTTTTAAATAAGGAGACCAAAACTGCACACAATACTCTAGATGCGGTCTCACGAAGGCCCTACATAGTTGCAGCAAGACTTCCCTACTCTTGTACTCTAAACCTTTTGCAATGAACGCTAACATGCCGTTCGCCTTCTTAGTTGCTTGCTGCACCTGCAAACTAACTTTTTGAGACTGGTGTACAAGGACACCCAAATCCCTCTGAACACTAACACTATCTAATCTCTCCCCCTCTAGAAAATAATCTGTTTTTCTATTTTTTCTACCTAGGTGAATAACTTCACACTTCCCCACATTAAATTCCATCTGCCACCTACTCGCCCACTCCCCGAGCCTATCTATATCCCGTTGCAATCTTTTTGCATCATCCTCAGAGCTTACTCTCCCACCTAGTTTAGTGTCATCCGCGAATTTAGATACGTTACATTCAATGTCCTCGTCTAGATCATTGATGTAAATTGTAAATAGCTGAGGCCCAAGCACTGATCCTTGTGGCACTCCACTAGTCACATCCTGCCAATTCGAGAATGACCCGTTTATCCCTACTCTCTGTTTTCTACCCGTTAGCCACTCTTCAATCCATGCTAATATGTTCCCATTAATCCCGTGGGCCTTAACCTTGTGCAATAGCCTTTTGTGTGGCACTTTGTCAAATGCCTTTTTAAAATCTAAATATACTACATCTACTGGTTCCCTCCTATCTAACCTGCTGGATACATCTTCAAAAAAACTCTAAAAGATTAGTTAAGCATGACTTCCCTTTTGTAAAGCCATGTTGACTCTGCCTAATCTTGTTATGGTCTTCCAGGAATCCCATAACGACATCTTTAATTAAGGACTCAAGAATTTTCCCTACCACTGATGTCAGACTAACTGGTCTATAGTTCCCCATCTTTTCTCTCCCACCCTTCTTAAATAGTGGTGTTACGTTTGCAATCTTCCAATCAATGGGAACCGTTCCAGAATCCAGAGAATTTTGGAAGATCAAAGACAAGCCATCCACTATCTCAGTAGCCACCTCTTTTAAAACCCTAGGATGTAGGCCATCAGGTCCAGGGGATTTATCAGTTTTAAGACCTGACAATTTACCTAAAACCATTTCTTTACTAATATTAATTCCCCAAGTTGCTCGCTAACATTATCTTCTTGGTTCCCCTCTATTCTTGGTAGGTTTTCAGTGTCTTCTAAGGTGAAGACAGTTGCAAAGTACTTGTTTAATGACTCTGCCATGTCTTTGTCCCCTACTATAAGTCTCTGCCTGTAGTGGACCCACATTTACCTTTGACAGCCTCTTCCTCTTTATATATTTATAAAAACTCTTGCAGTCTGTCTTTATGTTCTTCACTAGTTTGCCCTCATATTCCATTTTCTCCCTCTTAATCACTTTTTTGGTTCTCCTTTGTTGATCCCTAAAGTTCTCCCAATCCTCGGGTTTACTACTCATCTTAGCTGATTTATAGGCTTCTTCCTTTAACTTTATACTTTCCCTAACTGCTCTAGTTAGCCACGGTTGGGCCACCTTTCCCGTGGCATTCTTATTCCTCAAAGGAATACGTGCTCGCTGGGAATTTTGCACTATCTCCTTAAACGTCTGCCATTGCTGGTCTACTGTCGAATCCTTAAGTCTAATTTCCCAGTTTATTTTGGCTAAATCCTCTCTCATACCAACAAAATTGGCTCTACTTAAATTTAAAACCTTTGCTTCAGACTTAACTACTTCTCTCTCTAACTTAATGCTAAATTCCATCATATTATGATCACTTTGCCCTAGAGGAGCCTTAATTTCCAGTTTGCTGATCAGCCCTGCTTCATTGCACAAAACAAGGTCTAATATGGCCTGTTCCCTGGTTGGCTCCTCGGCATACTGATCTAGATAATTATCCCTAATACATTCTATAAACTCTTCCTCTATCATACTTTTCCCAATTTGGTTGACCCAATCTATGTGCAGATTAAAATCACCCACAATTAATGTTTTTCCTTTACTACATGCTCTGGTAATTTCCTGATTTATACCTTGAGAGATACTGTGACTGCTGTTCGGGGGTCTGTAAACTACTCCCACAAGAGTTTTCTGCCCCTTATTGTTACGTACCTCTACCCATACTGACTCTACTTCCTGCTTTTCTAATTTAAAATCTTTCCTCTCTACTGTTTTTATCCCATCCTTTATTAGCAGAGCCAACCCCCTCCTCGTTTACCACATTGCCTATCTTTCTATACCCCACATACCCTGGAATATTTAGCTCCCACCCTTGATCTCCCTGTAACCATGTCTCGGTGATGGCTACCGGATCATACCCGTTTGTTTCTATTTGTGCATTTAACTCATCTATCTTGTTTCGAATGCTTCGCGCATTCAGATATAGCACCTTTAATTCTGACTTCGGGCTATTAGTCCTATTCACCAGTACCCTATCCTTTGGCTTCCTTTCACCGCTTGACACACTTTGCTCATCTCCCTGGTTAATCTGCTCTCCCACTTTTATCGGTCCTAATTTTAATTGGGACAGATTACATGTGATTGAATTTACCCCCCACCACCTTAGTAGTTTAAAGCCCTGTCTACCTCCCTATTTATTCGTGTTGCCAGGACATTTGTCCCAGCCCTGTTTAGATGGAGTCCATTCCTTTGGAATAACTCCGGTCTCCCCCAATACTGGTGCCAGTGGCCTATAAAGTGAAACCCCTGCCCTCCGCACCATTCTTTTAGCCAGGTATTCAGTTCTTTTTTTGCCTGTACCATGTTGTAGGATCAGGCTTCACATTGGGACTTGCAACCCATATCATCTAGACTGACACTCCAGTACAATGTTGTGGGGTAATACACTGTCGGAGATGCAACTGCTTCAGATAAGATGTTAAACTGAGGTCATGTCTGCATATCCAGATGGATGTTAAATATCCCATGGCACTATTGAAAATAGAAGGGATTTTCTCCTGGTGTCCTGGCCAACAATCCCCCAAATAAAATTGGTTGTTCACTCTATAGTTATTTGTAAGATGTTGCTGTGCAAACTTTTGTCCACAAAAACATAGTCTTTATAGGTTATCTTGTGAATCACTTTGAGAACATCTGATGATGTGATAAGGCACTGTATTAATGCGAGTATTATTAATACACAGGCATTGCTTAGGAGGTTGGAACTATTCCTACTCAGCTACTGTTAACCTTATAAGCCAAAGGATAACAGCTAGGTGGTCTTAGATAGACAAACAGCGGAAGCTTACCAGTGGTCACAAAAGCAATGTTGTTTCATCTGGTTAAATTCCAGCAGTACCCCACTACATACCACCGGTTCCTAAACTCAACAGGATTAGGCAAGCAGGGTGCGTCCCTCCAGAGAGGGCGCACTCTATGCCAGACAACAAAAAATAACAACTTGCATTTATATAGCGCCTGTCACACTGGACGATGTCTCGTAGGGCTTGAATGGTTTATGTGAGTGTCAGACAATGTGACCAAAAATGCACTCTTCTTCCTATCTCTCCACTGCTCTGGTCTTTGAACATTCCTCCTCCCTGCCTCCTCATAGGCCAGTCTGTCCTTCGTGCTGCATTCTGTGGCCTTTTCGACCCCAAGCACCTCAGCCCCGCTACTTCTACTTTTTGTGGGTGTTCTCTGCAGTTTGTAACCTTGTTTTCCTGTGCCACACCCTCAGCCCTTCCCTTAGGCTCTCAACAAAGATTAAAACTTGATGTTTATTGTCGTCTAGATTTTCATGTCACAAATGTCGTGTTTCAGAGAATCAAGCCACATTTCAGGAAGTAGACTGATGCAATATAGCTGCAATAAAGGAGACAGTGCCGACTGTATCACTGCACAATAAGAGCAATTTGTTTCTTCCATGTGACTGAGGATACGAGAAATGCCTGGAATACTGCACACACTGGGTTCCTGAACTCTGCATAAACCTACCTTTCACAGGATGACGTTTTAATCTAGAGTTACCCTGGAAGTTAAGAACAACCCTGAGCTCCTCTTTTTTTCCTTTTGGGAACAAAACAGATAAAAATCCCTCTTGGTTGCAATCTTACTCCTCCCCCGCACCCCTGAACTCCCCTATCGTTTCTACCGCTCTCCCTACCCTCTTTTTCCCTCATCTCTCCTTTATTCTTGACATGTTAGGCCTTCCCCCACCTCCACAACACTGCCCATCACTACCTCTCCCTCTCGTCTGGTTTCCACCATGACCTAACTACTTTATCAAAACCC